TATTTGGATTTAGGCGGTGGGTCGAGGCGTGTGCTTTTGTGTGTGGCATCAACATTTTTAAACTCTCGATCCATACTTTATGGTATAAGCAACTAACTAACTGTTGATTACACTAAACTGTTCATACTCACGTAGGCGTAACTCGTAGTAAGACGCGTAGGACGCGTAAGACCATTATAAGCTTACTTGATGTTAATTTGTAAAGAGCAACTGTTGAGTTTCTTGCCGGTCTCTTCTTAACAGAGACCGCTTTCCGAACGGTTGGTACCTTCCAAATTTATATATTAATTTTTATGTAAAATACGACGTTTCATAAGAACGCGCAAGCGTCTTATTTGAATAAATATATTTTCAAGATAGACACCCGGTTTCTGCAGGGCCGGATTTTCAGGCATTAGTGACTTCATAGGGACAGACGTGATAATATGATAAATAGTTAAATTGTATGTTTTAGTAAGATAACCTATATTTGTATTAGTAGAAGTGAAATCGGAAGTAAAGGTACCGATTATAACCATACTGACTATTGTTTTTAATGGAACATTATTTCGAGTACTTATTTCTCTTGTCTATACAAACATTTTTACGAAACGTACATTCATGTAGTTACGCTAATAATAACCTGATGCTTAACATTTTTAAATAATATATAAAATTTGTTATCGTCAATGTTCTAAGAAACGGTTAAATTTATACAGACTTCAAGTATCGACTCTATACGAATTAAAAACTTAAAAGATTAGCGATTGTAATTTTTACAAAATATTTAAATCCATATATGGAAATACAAATTACATTGAAATACAAATTGCAAATTACGAGGATCCCTAATTGATTGTATAAGAAATAAAAAAGTGAAAAGAAAGATCTCAAACTTTTTAATTAAGTTCTAACAGATTTCCGTGATTATTTTCTAATCGCCGTGAAGCAACGGTCCTTAATTTATTAAACGCACAGATTAAACATAACTTTTTTGACAACCTTAAAATGTTACAGATAAAAAATTTGAAACCTTTTTAAATTTTGGGCGGGATTTTACGACTTAGAGTAATCGCGTTTATAACATAATATTTATGATTTAATCAATAAAACTTCAACACGTTTACTATGATATTTGCATTTACAATTCTTTTCTTTATTTTATTTTTAAATAAATCGATTTATACGTTTAAAATAATGCAAATTGAAGATATATAAGAGATAAAAGGCTAAAAAACCTTTTTGAAAAGAAACGTGTTCGAATTGATTATCGTAATGGACTTTATATTGCGTCTAATAATAATTTATGGCTTGTTATGCTAATAGTTTTAGTTCACCTTTAATACTATACAGTGAACGAAGACGATGATTTTGTGTAATCAAATCAAAAGCAACTCGATTAAGATACATACACATAGCAACGAAGAGCGTTTATACCGAAAAAGGCAACAAATATTTATAACACCGTCAATCTATACGTGCGTATATCTTGCTAGTATCGCCGTCGTCGTAGACTACAATAAAAGAGCGTTATTAAAAAAGATCGAGTATTTTAACCACCCTAAATATATCAATAATTCGCAAACCGCACCCTTCGGCACGCGCCGTCATTTGTCAGCATTATGCGATTGGACCCCTTGACTTTTCATTGATATTCACTCATCCCATGGGAACCTCTAGCAGGGATGGAGTAGACGTACTTGTCATAACAACAGATTCCCAGGGGCTAGGCAGCCCTAGGCGGACTAGGTGGGTAACATGGTGAGGAAACCGTCATATTTTGCGTTTTCCATATTATAACGTGCAAAAATGTATATCTTAAAGTTCCCAACGACAGTTCAGAACTATAAATACTAATCTATAAATACTAATCTACAAAAACATTAAACTCGACATGTGGTTTTACACATTGCTTTAGTGTATTACAGTGTTAAGGGTAACATCCCTCTACAAGATCCACATGTGCATGACCTTGTCTGCGAATCTGATTAACTAACACGGGTAAATTGAAACTACTTTACAAATTTTATGGCATTTTATTCCGATATAGTTCCCGACGTTTCGAACCCTACAAAACGTTCATGGTCACGGGGCGGCCTCTAGTTGTTTTACGTCCTAATGTGAGAGCTAACCCGTATCTAACGAGCTATCATTAGATTTTTAATGAGTATTGTATAACAAATAGAAAAGCTCTCTAGCTTTTCTAGTTGTTATTCTATTATTCTAATTCTCTAATTGCATGCTTCACAAAAGTGAACTTTATTTTGGATTGCAAAGAGATGCTACTAGGTGCAAAAGAATGCATTTACTTTGTCTACATACCGCTTTTAAAACTACGTTTAAATGTGGCTGCTTGAAGGACCTTCTCTTTGTAGTCTTCCCAAAATGTATCAAGTAAGCAACAATGGGAGATACTAGGCAGTCTATTGCTACATCATCCAACCGCTTGAAAATTTCTTCCTTCCACAACAGGCCACATGTGAAGCAATGTTCAAATATTGCAGTTTTTACATGTAGGTTTGTCTCTTTAAGCCTCCAAGAAACAATTTAAATACGGTCGTCAACAGGTAATAATGACTGGATGTCAAAACAAATGATAGTTTCTTTGCCAGCAAGATATAGGTAACTACCACAGGATTAACCAATCTCAATGACAAAATGGTATCAGGTATGAATGTCTTTAGTATACGCCTTTGTTTGTTCTCTGAATGGTGAGAGGATTTCAACAAGATGTTGGCCAGTCTGTAAGTCAGTGAATCAATCTGGCTAACAATTGAGCGTAATGGACCCAAAATTCACAAAAGACAATGTTGTTTGTGAATTTTGGATAACCCACGCAATATTGAGGGTTGACACAAGACGGTATTACCGAATTCACCTCCAGACTCAATTCCTCGCACAATTCTCGCTCATTCGGCGTAATGGAAAGTATATTCCATTAATATAACCCTAAATAAAACTGCCAATTGCTTCCCAATTTCCATTAAAGCATTATCGGAACGGATTTTCGCACATTACTCACGAATCGGCGGTACTTGAAGCGTAAGCCACCCTAATATTAGAACAACTAATAAAATATTTATGGGGCCGCAAACGGGTGCGAGGCGGGATTAATTTGGGGGCGGATTACGTCACACGTGGCGGGGAAGAACGAGTGACGTTTTTATCTATTCAAATATGGAATATTTTCTTTTTTCGAGTTTTGTAGGGCGATTAAAAAGGTTTTAGTGCGGCGCAGAATTCATTTCAATGACTGAACCAGCTATTACATAATTCATTGGAATTAAATTATTATGAAATATACTCGTCATGTATTAATTTCGTATACAAAGTGTGAATATATATAAGTAATCAGTAAAGTAACAACTTATATTATATATCCCAAAGCTGGGCAAATGCCTCCTCTGCGCGTAGCTTATTAGGGCATAGCCCACCGCGATTACACTGAATTGGCAGACTTCACATACCTTAGACATTTTTTAATTTATTACGAAAATTTGCCGGTTTCCAAACCGCTGAGCTTGTGATAAGTCACTACTAAAAACTGCAAATAACAATGCTGGCACCGCAATTCGAGCGCTCGAGTATACTGATGTAAATGTGAGCACAAAGTACCAAAAGCAATTAAAACACAATCTATTAGAAGAATCATCATCGTCATCATTTCAGCCTGTTTGAGTCCACTGCTGGACATATGCCTCCCCCGCAGACTGCCACGAAGCACGATCCTGAGCCACGTGCATCCATCGACTCCCGCACACTTGCACAGGTCGTCACTCCATCTAGTGGAGGGTCGTCCAATTCTATTAGAACAATTTCTGTCAATTTTTTTGGCCATGGACAACAATACGTGCAGTATTCAGTGGTTATAGTGTGGGTACTGGTTAACTCAATCCTCAAACAAAACGCGAAACAAAAGTACTCCCACTTCACACCGGTCTTCTGTAAGGCGGTACTACCCGAGTCCAACCATTGTTTTTATCGTGGGAAAAATCCTCTATGGATGCCCTGCCAGGCTCGGGTGAGTGGCAGGGGTATGTGGGAGTCCCAATAAGAATGGTTACCCACTAAAAAACCCACGTTGCACCTGTCTCTGTCGCATCGGCCGGGGACATGGAACACGTGGACCGCAATCTTCCGCGACCCCGACTCGACTATGGCCTTTTTAGGCCTCCTCTACTACCTAGTGTTGTGCCTGTGCAATTGGCACAGCACACGTCAGACGTCACTCACCCCAGTCCAGCCTACCCGAGGAGGTTTCGTGTAAGCTTGCATACTTATTATTATAATTTATTTATGTTTTGAAAGACATTTCCCTTACTTTAGGATAACATTATCCTGTGTTTCAAGGACGTTTTTAAATACATAAATTTCACGTGGACAAACACCCAGATGCCAGATATATGTTATATAACTATCTTCATATATATAATTTTGATGACTCCGTGGCGCAGTTGCCAAGGTATAGGCTTCGGCGTCAGGGGTCGTGGGTTCGATTCCCACCCGGGACAACTACATATTTGTGTGACCCACAGATAGTTGTTTCGCATCTAGGTGTTTGTCCGCGTAATATTTATGCTTGTAAAACGTCCTTACAACACAGGATAATGTTATCCTAAAGTTAGGGCAATTTTTTTAACAAAAAAAATCTTCTGTACACGGGTCACTGAACTCAAAATTTTTGTGTGACTTCAGATCGATTCGAGAATGGTTTAGATTCATCATTCCTCTTTTTTTATTTATTTATAAGTTGTTGTCGAATTTAAGTCGCGTGTGTTGGGTCCGCCAGTTATATATATATAACTAGCTAACCCGGCAAACGTTGTTTTGCTATATAAATTAGAAAAAAATGTTTGGGGTGGACAACCCTTAACATTTAGGGGGATGAAAAAAGTCATAAAAAAAAATTTTTCCGGCCGATATGCACACAAAATTTCACGAAAATCGGTCGAGCTGTTTCGGAGGAGTTCAATTACAAACACCGTTTTATATATTAGATATATATTATGACTATCTTTATAATGCGCAACAGATGGAAAAACGCAAATATATCAGTATCTCAATGTAAGTTCATTTCACACGTAGAACTAGAAACTGCAAAACCGTTTTGTTCGAGTCATTGACCCCTTTGTTTCGCAATTGATTCAGTATCGCGCCATCCGTGTTTGTCTGCACACGTTTATCGGCTCTCGGTCAAGGTTGAACATAAATCGGTCGTAAGTATTGTGTAACACGGATCAAATTTAATATTTAGTATTGAATGTGACGTAAGTAATCTCAACAGATCCAGCGACATGCAGCAGTTTAAATGCTTTAAAATGCAAAATCATTATTTTGATTCGCTGCGTGGTTTCAACTTTATTTTTCGCGCCATCTAGTAATGATGTTTGTAACTTATGTCATTAATGTGACGTTCCTTTTAATGTAACTCATTTTTAACCACACGAAATTTCTGTTTTTTTTTTAGATATTGTTGTTTAGGATGTTAGTACTTACGGAATTTGTTACTTACAGTATTGTTTCATTGTTATTAGAAATGTTAACTTTAACTTTCCTCGATTGCGTTTCTCAATTATTTTTTAATGTGAGAAAGTGGTAAACGAGCTGGCGATTCACCTGATGTTTAGTGATAACCGCCGCCCATGGATATTTGCAACACCCGTGTAGGGTTGCAGAAGCGTTGCTACTTTCTTATAAAGCGGGTCCCGGCTACCTCACTCACGCAGAAGTGTAACAATTCTACTTCACGCCAGTCTTGTCGTCTCACCCGGACGGACCTGCCCATTCGTGCAACAGCGAAAACTGTTGCATGTCGCTACCACAGTAAAAGTGGGTTCCGAGGATTTTCATTCCGCCATGTTTCAGATGGGCCGACTACTAGTTTTGATGCTAGTGGTAGTAGTGGCGACTCTGGTATATGTTTTGTATCTCAAAAGTCCTCCGCCACTGCCGCAGTTAGATTTGAACCAGTGGTGGGGACCCTGGGGACCCATGGAAGGGAGAACGAATCAAGATGTCAGCATTAGGCCATTTACCATCAACTTTTCTAACGTGGTACGTAATTTTCTCCCACATTTACGTACAACATGTATAATTTTGGCCAGTAATCTAGTGGCTTCGGCGGCTGGAGTCGTGGATTCCATTCCCACAAGGGATAAGTATTTGTGTAAACAATAGGCAATTGTTCCGGATCTAGGTGTTTATTCCCAACGAGGGTTGATGTCAGGCAAGTTGCGAAAACCCACCCAATACTACTAATAACACGATTAACACGCTGTTTCAAACCCACGTATTTGGTATATACAATATATACAATAAGGTAAAGAGAAGGAAGACGTACAAATTTACAGTGGTGGAATAACAACAGCTTACGTAACAGCTCCTATCCGCGGCGAATGAGCGGCAATTCCGCGGCCTTTCTAGGCCGCGGAATTGCCGCTCATTCGCGATTTTTTGTTTCTTTCCATAATTGTTTTGGATAACGTTAGAATTTATAATTATGGGCCTCCTTTTTAAATCACTAATCCTTAATTCCTTACTTCCTTACTTAAAATTATAAAGGCGAAAATTTGTATGTATGGATGGATGTTTGTTACTCTTTCACGCAAAAACTACTGAATGGATTTTAATGAAACTCAACAATAGTACTAGCTTATACATCAGAATAACACATAGGCTATAATATATAAAGATATTGTGTCAATTGTACAAAATATAGGTAATGATAAGTGTCAATTGTACAAAATATAGGTAATGATAAGTGTCAATTAAGTAGTGTATAATAAAAAGCTTTAAGCATTGTTAATTCCTCTGGCCGCGCGCGGGAAGCCGCGGATAACATCTAGTATGTGAATAAACAAAGAAATCCGAACGATAGAATGGACAGAATACTTCAGTCAACAGCAAGTGACCAAAACGTTTGTTAGTTTCTTAAGCACTCCAAGCTACTCCAATGATTATGTCGAAGAACAAAATTGGGATGAAAGCGGTATAAAATATTTTCTGAAATGTCAGGAAATAATCTGCAATTGGACTCGATGTCCAATGTGGTCGCTAACAATCATGTGAACCACTTCTTAGTTAATGTTATGTTACACACATAATGTAAAAAGTACCCGGAGAACCGAGCTTTGCTCGGTGTGTTTTTTTTGGTAAATCATGTATTTTGTAAATTACATTTAGATACAAATTACTGAGTAATGAAATATGCATAATGTTTTTCGATCTTACCGACGTAATAATAAGAAAATATGAACTGATGTTTTTCACAAAATAAAGAACTTTAAAAAAAAGGGAAAAAAAAATAACAAAATAACAAATCGACAAAAAATTAAAAATAAAGAAAGCAATGATCTGGAATCGAAAAAAAAGTAAAAAAATAAATGTGTAAATGATCGTGACGCGAACCACGACCGTCTGTTTTGGGGCCGCCCGATTACCGACCGAGCTATTATGACATTTTCTCTTGCGGCGAAATTTACCGTCATATTCAAATTATATTTTTCATTCCCTGAAAACAGGGAATAAAAGGACATTTTCTAAAAATGAAACCTAGCTAGATCGATTTTTCGCCCCCGAACCTATGCACATACTAAATTTCATGAAAATCGCTGGAGCCGTTTCCGAAATTCCGATTATATATATATATATATATATATAGAATATATATATATATATATATATATATATATATATATATATATATTATATAAGATTAAGCAGGAACGTATCAAAACGAAGCAAACCAAATTTTTCTTCATTAGTTCTTTCTTTTGTGAAAAACACCAGTTTATATTTTCTTAATATTACGTCGGTAAGATCGAAACATATTATGCATTTTTCTTTACATAGTAATTTGTATCTAAATGTAATTTCCAAAATACACCATTTACCAAAATAAAACAAACCGAGCAAAGCTCGGTCTTCCAGGTAATTTTGATTAAGAGGAATAATCAAAATAGATTACGTTTTATTATTGATTCAATAGGCGTACGATCTGTTATGATCATTTATGTAAAATGTAGCCATACTACTATTCAATTCAAATAAATATATAATTCTTCTTTAAGGGTAGGCCCTTATCCCATTCAGGTGGGGTCGGCACAACATTTTGTTTATGATATTGCCTAGGTTTTTTCACAACCGGCCGCCAGCCTAACACTTCCTTGAGTTTAAAAGAAAATATAATTAAAATTAAGAATATAAAAAAAACTTTATACAATCTCTGGGCATATTTCTGCAATTCTTTCTACTTTCTCTGCAACCCTTCATTCCAGCCAATTGGTCATCGTTTAAATTTATAAAAATGTCATAGATGATCGAAGACTTGAGGAGGCGGTTGAAAAGACACAGACCTTCACCACCACCGCTACAGGGCGTTGGATTCGAATACGGCTTCAACAGTAAACAGACTGAGGGTTGGCTGCGCTACTGGGCTGAAGAGTATCCGTTCAGCGCCAGGGAGCAATTCCTCAACCAGTTCCCACATTACAAAACGAACATTCAAGGACTGGACGTCCATTTCATTAGAGTCAAACCAGATGTATGTTAATTTATTTGTAACTTCGGGTGTATGGAAAGAATGTGTAACTTTGAGTTTATGGGATGAACTTCAAAGGAAATAATGAATGATATTGGTACCAATTAATATATAACGATATTATACACTAAAGTAAAAAGTAAAATAGTCTATATAAAATAGTAAAATAGATATCCTAGCCCATTTACATTACAAGACAGTTTCCGTCCGGGTAAGTACCACGAATGCACAGAAGTCCGACGTAAAGTGGAAATGTTATACATCTGCGTTTCGTCTGGTGAGTGAGGTATCCGGGGCCCTCTTTGTTATAAGGTTGCAACGCATCTGCAACCCTACGGGTGTTGCAAATGCGGCGGCGTTAATCACTTAACATCAGGTGAATCGCCAGCTCGCTGCCACCTTCTCACATAAAAAAAACAGTGATCACTAAAACAATTGCATATAAATATATATAAATAAAAACAGTGATTGCTAAAACAGTTAAATACAAACACATAAAAGCAACTTGATTTGTTCATATATTACATAAATAATCTAATTGTGTTGGCCATTTTACGGATTTCGTGGTGTTTGCTATTTGTAAAGTTGTTTTTTTTAAACTTTTTTCATTTAGATAAATATAAAACTTACGTGTTGAAGTATTTACACTTCAATTTTTTTTTAAACATTGCCCTTACTTTAGGATAACATTATCCTGCATTGTAAGGACATTTTACAATCATAAATTTCACGCGGACAAACACCCAGATGCGAAACAACTATCTGTGGGTCACACTAATAGAGTGTTAGTAGTGTTTTCCCGTGTGGGAATCGAACCCACGACCACCGACGCCGGAGCCAATACCTTGGCATCAGCGCCACGGAGTCATCGAATTGTTTTCATCATTACTTAGATTCGACAAGGGGTTGAAATATTGCCAATGTTGCTATTACACGGCTGGCCTGGCTCCGTGCGGGAGTTCTACGAGGCAATACCCTACCTTACTTCCGTCAGTAAAGACAGGGACTTTGCGATAGAGGTCATCGCCCCCAGCCTTGTGGGCTACGGATTTTCCGACGTAAGTCAATATCACTCTGTATTAGAATTGCTATATAAAATAGAGTCATTTATAAAGATATATTTAATAGATTTATATGCCTTGCAATATGTACTTTGATTTTTTATTAATTAGACATATACATCTATATTAGAAGCCCGATCTATTCTCACATTAAAGCGATACTATTAGTATAATAGTTCACCAAAATAAAATAACGTAAAAAGTTATTTATGTACAAACCAAATTAGTCACATTAATTGATCACGTATTAATTAATGGTAGGTACTTGATATATTGGAAAGTACAGATTAAGAAATGCACAAAAAATCAATGCAATTGTCTATAAGTAAGCGTAGTATCAAAAATGATGCGGGGATTAGCTACAATAACTTTAAAATCTAAAAGGAACACAAGGGAACAAAACGAATAAGATCTCTTCACTTCGGGAGTACTTGACTCTTACATAAATTATAGGAACAAGTAACATGGCTATTGTTTTTTTTACTTTGCAACGCAACTTTGTTTGCCCCACTTTTCCACCGCAGGAGAACTGACTCCACTGAACACGTAGTGCTTATAAAAATCATCGTTTCTTATTAACTTCACATTCACAACTCTTTTCATGGATAATGGCCATGTGTCTAAGAATTAAAACTAAGAAGAATTAATTGTAATCTACGCAGTTGTGATGTACGAGCAACGATAGACCTCTATCATTTTATTTATATAATAATAATAATAAATATTTTAGGACACATTTTTTACACAACATTTTCCAGTCCCAAACTAAGCAAAGCTTGTACTATGGGTACTAGAAAACTGATAAATATACTTAAACATTCTTTTCTTTTGTAAATAAATACATATTATACATATATAAACACCCAGACACTAGAAAAACACCATGTTCATCACACAATATTTTTCCAGTAGTGGAGATCGAACCCACACCCTCTGGCGCAGGAGTCTGGCGGACATTTTTATTTCAAATACACGTTATCAACAAGATTATGTGATAATTCAATTATTTAAGGCACCCGTTCGGCCGGGAATGGGAACGGCGCAGATGGCCGTCGTGATGAAGAATCTGATGAAGAGGCTCGGCTTCGACAAGTTCTACATCCAGGGTGGTGATTGGGGATCCGTGGTGGGAGCCCATTTAGCTACGTTGTTTCCTGAGGTCAGTATATACGGACCCGCATGGATACACGGATACATACTCGTACGCGCTAATCCTGGCGTTCCTTTTATTAAAAAAAGTAATAAAATCAAAATCAAAATCAAAAATATATTTATTCTCATAAACGCTTGCGCGTTCTTATGAAAGGTCAAAATTTTACATTTTGACCTTTCCACCTGTTACCACCGGTTCGGAAAGCGGTTTCTGTTGAAAAGACGCCGGCAAGACTCGACTCGCAACTGTTAAAACGATTAGTTTACAATATAATAGAACAAGACTAAGTATGTACTATTTTAGCCTGCGGGAGTATCAACAGTATTAACCCTCACATTGGCGTCAAGACATTCCGCATAATATCAATCAATCAAAAATCTTTATTCAAATAGACGCTTGCGCGTTCTTACGAATCGTCAAATTCTACATAAAAAATTATTCCGATAGGTTCGTAAGGTACCACCGTAAGGTTCGGAAAGCGGTTTCTGTTGAGAAGAGACCGGTAAGAAACTCAACAGTTGCTCTTTTTCAAAAATATCAGTTTACACTATAAAATACCGGTATAATGGTAATTTTTAAATAAACGAATAATTAAATTCATAAAACATTTATTTAAAAGAGATTTCATCGTTCATCGGTCATAAAAATGATGTCATGAGCTTCCTCACACGACCGGCAATGAAGGACTTCAGTTCCGTGGGTCATTATGGTGAAGGAAAGTTCTCGAACGGTAGCCTCTTTATTGGACATAGTCTTAATCATATGTTATATATGTTGACAAATAACAAGTATGTACCCGTTTATCAAACAAATAAATTAAATTGTGACTTAAATGACATAAATAATATTATAAATTATAAATCATCCAATTTGACATATGATAGGTTCATCCTATCCAATTTTTATTTAAAACAGTTAGCTTATATGCTATCTTATTGCATTTTTTTAAACCCAGCCAATTGTTTGGCTAACCAGACTGCTGCTTCTATTGAACAGCAACAAAATTTGACATTTACCAATTTGGAATCCGTTCCAAGTAATTTAAATTAAATAAGAAGACAACAGAGGCAATCTCTGGCACTTCAATTAAAAATTTAACTTATTCTAGTAAATTAGTGAGACATGTAAGTAAATTGAATAAAGACATTAATTGTAATAATAAATTAAATTGTATTAGCCTGGTCCATCAAAACATCCAAGGAATGTTAAGTAAAGATTTGGAAATTGAGTTATTTTTAAAAAGTAACAATATTGATATATTATGTATTACTGAACATTGGCTATTAAACTACCAGTACATATTTAACTTCAGATGTCACCAGGTTGCTAGTCTGTTCAGCAGAGAAAAAGCGATACGTGGTGGCTCTCTTATACTTATTAATAATGCTTTAAAATTTAAGAACCGCAAAGATGTTGTGAGCCTCTCTGTTGAGCAGACTATTGAAATAGCCTGTGTGGAGCTTGAGCAATTCATTGTTGTATGCGTATACAGACCTCCTAGTGCGTTATATGAATCTTTTGAAAATGTTTTGGAAGAATTGATGTTGAAGTCATCTGAGTCTAATAAATATATTATTGTCTGTGGTGACTTTAATATAAATTTATTATAAAATTCTACCACCTCTATTAGATTCAGATCATTGTTAAATTCATATAACCTTGCCAATTTATTCCTTGAACCAACTAGAATCACTACTTCTTCCGCAACTTGTTTAGATAACATATTTACAAATTGTAACCCAATTAACAAGTCTATTATTAATATATTTACTTCAGACCATTGCGGACAACTTGCCACTTTTAAATCATATATAAAAAATAGTAGTGCTAAGGTACAAAAAATAATGGTTGTTCCTGTAAATAGAACTCGGGTTGAGAAGTTTAGAAGTAATATAACAAAAAAGCTGACGTATCTACCTTATAATGATAGCCCCAATGCACTTTACAACATATTATTTAATTTAATTAAAGTGGAATTTAATACTATAAAAGCTCTGTAGTTTTCAATGAATGGGCAACAGTCGGAATTCATAATAGTAGACGTAGATTGTATGAACTTTATAGTGAAAGGACATACAATCATAGTCAATGTTTTGTTTCTTATGTTAGTGCCTACTCTAAAATATTTAAAAAAGCTTGTTATACTGCTAAATCTCTATATATTAGGAATAAAATAAAAAATGCACCTGATAGAATCAAAATGACTTGGAAAATAATTAATAGCGAAACGGGAAGAGTCACGAAGCGCAAATCTGACCTAATGTTAACTAATGATAATAATTCTATTAACTCAAATCAACAGGCTGCTACTTTCTTCGAGAAATTTTTCGTTGACATTCCAGTTTCAACAACCAAGTCACTTCTTTCCTCACCGACAGTTGCTGAGTCATTACTAAAAAAGAATGTTATGGAATGTAAAGTCAACTTTAAATTTACTACTGTAAACAAGACAGAAATTGTTAAAACTTTTAAAACTTTAGATGTTAAAAGAACTGCAGATCTATGGGGGATCTCGGTTAAGGTGATCAGTTCTATTATTGATGTAATATCACCTTACCTAGCAACTATTTTTAATATTTGTATCAATCGTGGCGAATTTCCTGACCTTATGAAACATAGTAAAATCATTCCGGTGTTTAAATCTGGTAGTACTTCCGACCCCAATAATTTTAGACCTATCTCTGTACTACCTATCGCCAACTCTTAGTAAAATTTTTGAAAAAATCATGTTGAATCAAATGTTACAGCATTTTAGCTCTCATAATTTATTACATAACAAGCAATATGGGTTTACTAGGGGTCGCTCAACAACTGATGCGGGTGTTCAGCTCGTTATGAATATTTTTGAAGCCTGGGAAAAGTCGCAGGATGCCTTAGGAATATTCTGTGACTTAACCAAAGCTTTCGATTGTGTACAGCATGAGACCTTGGTCAGGAAACTACGCCACTATGGTATAAGAGATGCCGCACTCAATCTTCTGAAATCGTACTTGAGCCATCGAATTCAGAGAGTTGACGTGAATGGCAAGAGATCTCCCGGGGCCTTGGTAAATATGGGGTCCCGCAGGGATCTATTCTTGGGCCTTTTCTCTTCCTCATTTACATAAATGATCTACCTTATCTTGTTAATAATAATCATGAGATAGTATTGTTTGCGGATGATACCTCTTTAATCTTTAAAGTAAACCGACGTTCTTTAAGTTATGACGATGTAAACAATACTCTATCTACTGTAGTACATTGGTTTAGTGCTAACAATTTACTCTAAATTTACAACTTCCTCCAATGTTAAACATGTAAAAACTGATGTACTTTTATATGGGGAAGCGTTGGACCCTATTGACTCAACTGTATTCCTTGGCATAACTATTGATGCCAAACTGCAATGGGGCCCCCATATTAATAACCGGCGAGTAGACTTAGCTCAGCAGCTTTCGCGGTCAAAAAAATAAGACAGTTAACTGATGTTGATACGGCTCGCTTGGTATATTTTAGTTATTTTCACAGTATAATGTCTTATGGCATTCTGCTTTGGGGTAACGCGACCGACATTAATACAATCTTTATCTTACAAAAGAGAGCTATTCGTGCAGTTTACAATCTGGGCCCCAAAGAATCGTTAAGAAACTTATTTAAAGAGATAAATTGACTGTTGCTGCTCAATACATTTTTGAAAATGTTTTGTATGTCCATAAAAATAAGGATAAATTTTTAAGACATAATAATGTTCATGATATAAATACTAGGAACAAAAATAAATTGATCCTACCCACAAGTAGACTCCGTAAAATAAGTAAATCTTTTATGGGACAATGTATACGTTATTACAACAAAATTCCAGAAAACGTTCAAAATGCATCAATAGCTAAATTTAAAAAAATAGTAAAAGAACGTTTGTGTGTTAAAGGCTACTATAATATTAATGATTATTTAAATGATAACACACTCTGGTAATGAACTTATCGCTCCAGGCTCTTTCAATCGGAGTTCTTATATTGTATTTTAACGAATTTTTGTCAAACTGCTTATTTAAAAAAAAAGCCCGCTGAGTTTCTTTCGCCGGTTCTTCTCAGTACAGTGGCTTTCTTTTCCGAACCGGTGGTAATGTTTTGACTATCAATAAGTGAGTGTAATGCTCCTATGTTGAATAAATACATTTGATTTTGATTTTGATTTTTGGAGTGTGACCTTTAACTCTGCAGGAAATGGATGGATCGGAGAGCCTGCTTGAGTCCACTGCTGAACATAGGCAAGGCTAAATGAGGATGATGATGAGAAATAAAATAAAATCAGTTACCTAACCTGCGGTAAATATAGATTTGACCAAATCAAATCGACTAGCAAAATAAGTCACTCAGAAAGGTCACTCTCTTCAAAGGCCGGCAACGCATTTGTGAGCCCTCGGGTGTTGCAGGTGTTCATGGGCGGCGGTAATCACTTACCATCAGGTGAGCCTCCTGCTCGTTTGCCCCTTTTCTCCATAAAGAAATTAAAAAAAAAAAAAAAAAAAAAAAAAAAACTCAGAGCGATTGTATTGACGTAAAGCCTTTTACAGAACGTCCTAGGCTATCATACCAATCTGCCAATTTCAACGACACCAGCGTCCTTTCTGCTACCACTTGCTGGGTCAGTGTACCCGTCTTTGTTCTTCGACTCCCATGAAGTGGAACGGATGTACCCACTGTTAGATCATTACTCCATGATCATGGAGGAGATGGGCTACTTCCATCTGCAAGCAACGAAGCCTGACACAGTAGGTGAGTGATACTTAACTTTAGTAGTACAACTTAATACTTACCACTATTAGTCTTTTGTATTCGCTGAATATGTTATAATTAAGATCACAATGTACTAAAATATTCTGGCAATCAAGACATTCATTCATTCATTCATTCATTCATTCATTCGCTCCGTTTTCGGGACGCGGCGGGAGGACTATGCACTTATAACCGAAAGTCTAATCTTGATTAATGGAAAACAAAAAAATAATAAAAACAAACGACACCGGTTGACATCAAAAACCATTAAATAGGGGGATCTCCATAGAAGTCAACAATGTTGTGTGTGATCTTTAAATTAATATGTTCTTAAAAAAATATATCGCAACTATAATAAATTCGGGTTAATTTAAATCTTATTATTATTATTAAATAACAATAAAAAAAACAAAACTCACAATCAATATATTCTCACTATACATTTTTTATTTTATTTTTAGGAGTTCCCTGATGTATCTCTGTTGTCTAAGGTCCAGTACCAATGAAATTAATACCAAAATTAAAACGGAACCAAATGTAAAAAAAAAACGACGACGAATCATAAATAGCCGAGTTCTGTACTAACACATTTAACCTAATTGGAAATTTTCATTCCTTATTTGTAGTCGGTTGAAACCTTTCAGTTGAAGCTGTGTAGCAAAAAATGCTGTGCTGTTTTGTAAACGAATAGATGGAATAAAAAATTATGACCTATTCGTACAACAGCTGGTGCTACTGCGTTTCTCTAATGCAGTAAGCTATAAGTACAATCGCAATCTAATGCATCGAAAGTAGATATTGATACTAGGTACATTATTAAAACTTAAATTAGTGGCACAACACTAATAAACCTGTTGGTAGTCTGAGAGTAATAGGCAACTCGAAAAAGGAGATTGCATCATTCTTATACTAGTTACCATTATAGAAAAGTTAAACGAATATAAAAATAATTAATAAAACAATAATAGATAATAATAAAATAATTTAATAATGAAGATTTATTTATATATGTGGATCGTTCCCAGGCAAAGCCTTAAGCGACTCTCCGTCTGGCCTCCTTGTGTACATCCTGCAAATGTTCGCGACGTGGACTCGACGAGAGGAAGCTTCTAGGCCGGACGGCGGACTCGATCTCCACTTCAGCAAGGAACAGCTGATCGATAACGTCATGCTGTACTGGGCGCCCAACTCGATCAACGCCGCCATCAGGCTGTACGCAGAGTCATTCAGCAAGAGGCACTTCGACACGAAGCTGGATGAGTGAGTTCTATTTGACAGCGACCGTCGTTTTTTTTCTACATACAAACTGGCCAGTGCTAGCACTGCAGTCATAGAACCAGCCAAGACTAGTTCTGAGTGCAGTGCTTGACTTGTTGGAGCTCATTTGAGTTAAATTATACCACAAAAGCCTTCGTTTTTCTTGTCCTCACAACTGGCTATATATAGTATCTCGTTTCTTCTAAGAACACAGACATATCTAATGCTGTTCAAGTTTTATTTTAAATAGATTTTAAAAATCCATATACTTATGCTGATGACCATTGGTAATTATAATCATGGCATCAACTCAAACCGAAAACCGGTTTAATTTTTACGCCACTTACGCTATTAATTAATTACGATAAAATGATGCTTACATAAAACTTATACATTTATCAAGCTGTTACTCGTATCTTTGCCCGTATCATGCTTTCGGTGGTGGGTCGCTGACATTTTTACGGTCGATAAAGGGACACTGTTTGTTGTCAACGATAAACTAGTTTTAATAGTCCAGATATTTCGTACTTTTCACTTTATTTTACGTAACTTGCTTTGTACTGAGATGGTACAATCCAAAATCAAAGTCTAGACTACCATGACCATGCTTATTGAAAAGATCTCGGATGACACTAGAATTCTATGTCATTGGAATTCATACTAAAAGCTCCTTTCTTCTCCTTTCAATTACCTCCCAACACAGTCAAGCACAAACATATTTTTACCCCTTTCTTACTTCATACTTCTCATACCGTTTTGTTTTATCTAGTTTTTATTTCACGTATTAATTTCGATTGACTGCTGCCAATCGAAATTAATACGTGAAATTTAGATACTGTTTTTTGCAAAAAAGAGAAACTCGATATCGCTATACAATATTATCATAGTTTCAGCCTCTTTTAGTCCACAGCTAAACATAGGCCTCCCTTGCAGACATGTCTCTACATATCTACTTAACCTTGCTCCAGAATACCGTGCTTGGTGCCGACTTGGCTTCTGCATTCGAAGCACGAGCCCCTCTACCAGCTCGCAGCAGTCACCAGACTGAAGTTCCCCAACACACTGAACTGCACAGTGCTTAACACCGGCGGGCACTTTGTCGCTTTGGAACTGCCTGAGGCATTTTCCGAGGACGTCCTGATGGCTGTTGGCGAGTTCCGAAGGTGGAGTAGGAACGCGAGGAAGAACAAGTTGTGAGCGAACTAGCTTATGCCCGCGACGTGTCTCATTTTTTAATATTGCCGCATTGCAAAAAAAAAGTAAAGTATAGCCTATATATGTCCGAGAGCGTAGTATGTATGTACGAGAGCGTAGTCCACCACACGACTCACCTATGGATTGACGGACTTCTCATATCTTTAAAGTATTTTTTTATTATTGTTTCGAAAATACGCAGTTTTCCTCACGATGTTTTCCTTCACCGCTGAGCGGATAATAAGTCAGCACTTAAAATTGTAATGAACAACTTCCTTGGCTTGGGACCGGTATTCGACTAGGGTAGCTAGAATATACTAGATATTTAATTAAAAGGCTGGATACTGAATTATCACGGCTCTGCCCGTACTGTAGGATAACACTATCCTGCGTCGTAAAGACTATGTCGACAAACACCAATATCGGGAATGATAATTGTTTCCGATCTTGGTGTTTTTTGGTGGATTTTTTGTCTTGATTATTTTCTAAATGTTTAAAAGTCGTAAAAAGAGTCTTTTTCCGGTTTCTGAACACACATGGTCAGTTTTTGAAGGTTTCATTAACCGACTACATTTGAAATTAATACGAAAGGTATATAATACGACTATTAAACATAATTAACTATTTATAATAATTTACTTGTTTTTTAATAAAAAAATATGTTGAATTGTCTATTTTTTGTTTAATAACGTTGGTTATTTCACAAATCATTTTTGCATCTTTCTGCTAAAGTAAAGTAACAGCCTATACATGTCCCACTGATGGGCAAAGGCCTCCTCTATACAGAGGGTATCAGGGCATAGTCCACCACGCGGCCCCACTGCGGATTGGCGGACTTCACATATTTTCGAAATATATTTTTTTTTGTTATTATTTCGAAAATATGCAGGTTTCCTCACAGGTTTCCTTCACCGCGGAGCACGTGATAAGTGTTAAAGTTAAAAACTTGATTGGTGGCGGCACCGGGGATCGAACTCAGGTTGCTCAAGTATATTGAATTAAAGGCGAGCCCCCGAACTCTGAGCTAGAACGGCTCATCCCCGTCCTATTCAAATGATATTTTTCATTGCCTGAAAACAGGGATAAAAGGAATTTTTTTCCTAGAAAATGTCCTTTTCATCCCTGATCTAACCTAGCTAGATCGATTTTTCGCCCCTGAATCTAAGCACATACTAAATTTCATGAAAATCGGATCCAGTGATTTTTTTCCGGATTCCGATATTTAGTTCATTCCCTCAACGTTATATTAAGTGTTACACTTTTCTATTTATCTACTGTACGATTTCATTTCTATCCAAATTCAAATATCTTTATTCAATATAGAAGCATTACCTTTACTTATCGATTGTCAAAATCGATGCTACAATAACATTAAATTATATTATGACATTAGCTGTGACTTTTCATCAGTCTGATGTTTTTAAATATCGAATATAATAAAATCGTCGATATTGTGTACACAATGAACTGTGTTGTACTTACTCAACACTGGAGAAGTACCGCATAATAGAAGCCAGGATTAAAATACAAGTATTTATAATCTCTCTCTCAAACGGTATTTGCCAGGTGAAGGAGGTATCCGGGACCCCCTCTCTTAAAGGTTACCCGCAGCACTTAACATCAGGTGAACCGACTGCTGTTTGCCACCTTCTCCCATAAATGAATTAAAAAATACAAAAAAACAAGTACCATTGTTTATTTCTAAGACAGCACTTCCATCTTAAGATTAAATACTATAGCGTTAAAAGCCTTGTTCTTGTCATTACGTGGACTAGATTCACAGTTCAGTGTGAGCTTTCGCGATGTGCCAGCGTCTGAACTGAACTATTGCCCTCAGCACGTCCTCTGCCAGGACTTGGGGCAGTTCCATCGCCAGGAAGTGACCCCCTACATCCAGGATCGTCTCGTTCAGTAGATTTGGGTACTTCATCTGGTACATCCACGGGGGAATGTACGAGATCTCGTACTTGGCTTGCAACATCCAAGCGGGCACGGGTGACGGGATACTGGAATAAGTGAGAGCAAACTTTTCTCCTTGTATTCTAGTATCATGTTTTCAATAAAACATATTGACAACAAACATCACAGAGAAAAGAAACTTTAGATTGACTATAAGCCACCTTCGTAAGTCTTAAAGTTAGAACACAGTTAATATACTAACTAGTCAGTATTATCATCTATAACTTTTTTCATGCGTGAAAAGCTGTCAAGCGAACAGGCGGTTACCCTAATGTTAAATCAATACCGCCGCCCATGGACATCTGCAACAGCTGATAGCTTGTAGATGCGTTGTCAACCTTTAAAATGTGGGCCCCAGTTACCTCAGTCACCAGACGTAATGCGAAAGTTTAATACTTCCACTTCACGTCAGTCCTCTGTGAGGCCGTGGTACCCGGATGGGCCTGCCCATTAGTGCAACAGCAGAAGCTGTTGTGTGGTCTCACCACAGTTATCCTATATGGATGAAACAGCTTTGAACCCACAACACGTGGCACAATGGCAGTTGGCGATTCGATAACTTTAATAATTGCGCTCTCGGTGTAATAAACTTAACCAAAAGCGGACACCAATATTTATGTCTATCCTTATAAGGTAAAAACCCCAATGATCGCGCATAAAACAAATGAGTTGCCCATAAATCATGCACATTTTGAGATAACTTCAAATGAATGTAATTAATTAATTACATTTATCATTTTTTATATGAAATTATTTATGTCTGGAATTTAATGGATACACTTAGAAAAGCCTTTCTGTATAGGGACAGACAGACAGCGGGAAGACTTTATTTTTTATACTATGTAGTGATAGTGAGGCTCACCTGTCAATCCGCTTTCGGAAATACCTAGGTGAGAACGACTCTGCATAGATCCTGCCAGCAGTTGCGATGGAGTTGGAGGTCCAGTACATCATCAGGTTGTCGATCAGCTGTTCACGGGTGAAGTGCATTAGCAGGCCGCCGTCAGCCAGTTGGGTGTAATAGCCGCGGGTGCCGACTGAGATCTTCTCGAAGTAATACGCGAGCAGACCGGCTGGAGAGTCCGTGAGGGCTACGGCTGTGGAATAGGCCTCATCCGTTATACATTTCTCCGTCCTAACACAGTGAAATCAGAAGACCACGTTCACTAGAAACGTTCGGCTGTTCTCACCGTACCCAGCTACCGCTTATACAGTCAAAGGTCGCTGGGATCTTCTCGATAGTAACCTCGAGCAGTACCGGCTGGACCCCATCGAGTAACCGTGATGGCTACGGCGAGTGGAATTTCCCTCCCACTCGTATCAATTTGCTTTCTCAAAGTTTCGAAATAAGATGAAGCTATATGTCTTCGAATAGAGAGAATAATCGCCGTTATGACTGCGTTGAGACCAACACAACGCGTACACAAGGTACACCCGCGTTCCGGGGCGGTTCTCACCGCCCCGAGCCACCGATTAGCTAAAATCACAGTCGACGGCCATCGAAGTCTCGGTCCGCACCGCAACCTCGATGGCCCTTATATGACATGCCGTAGTTGACTTGACGTAGATAGACATGACTGTGTTTTTTGTTGAAAGTAAATAAAAATATTCATTCATTCATTCATTCATTCATTCATTCATTCATTCATAGTTAAACGCACGCATGAGCACATGCGCGGCCCTACCCACAGCGGAGGGCCCAAACCCGTGGTTCTGGCTAGCCCACCGGTTCTGCGTCAGATTTATTAGTCTCGGGACTGAAAGCACAAACATCAGTTAATACAAGACAAGGTACAATCTCTGTTATGCGAAATCCAAGAAGCTGTTAAAATATTACATGTTCATCGGCAACAATAACAAATCGCGACGAGTGAATTATTTATAAATATAGTCAAATTAAAGAACGGCGTTAACAAAGTTTAAATTACTTTTCTGTCCATGCATTCCTATACAACATAGTTGTTTTCAATTTGTTGATGGAAATTACTGTTGTTCGGGCTAAGCAACTATAATATGTACATTTATGTGTGTGCCTATACGACGCCAACAAATTCGTAATATAATGACAGTGTACCACTAAATCGCGTGTCGGCTTGGTGCACCTAGCAACACCGACTAAAAACATTATTTTACCTAACATTAAAATTTTTATAACATTAAGAACATTTTGTGTACTTTAAATAAACGATTTTAATATTACTCAAACTTTATAAATAACTTTACCGCAACCTTTACTACCGCCACAACTGTGGTAAATTACGCTAAACCAGATTTGAACCGAACGGAAAGAGATAAATGATTAAACTTAACGGATGCTTTAGAAAATCACAGAACCATTAGTATCCATTTAAAATCACTTACCGACCGTATCCGGTTTGGTCGCCTGCTGATGGAAATAACCCGACTCCCTTAACAGTTTCGCCAAAAACCTCGGCACTGGATACATCCTGTCCTCGACTTCGGGTCGTACCACCAGTGGGGGGTAAAGAGCTCCAATTGCCCTAAGTATAAGCTGGGTCGGGGACAAATTTGAAGGCATACTGCTGTGGTAACCAAGTACTTCCTGAAATTCGTACATTGAATTACCACTCGATGAGGAAATTCAGCATTTATACTACGGTGGAACCAAACAACAGCTTCTCCTGTTGAGTGATTTATGTTGATATTTTTTTTATAAGATGATGGCAAATAAGCTGGCGATTCACCTGATGTTCAGTGACAACCGCCGCCCATTGACATTTGCATCACCCGTAGGATTGCAGATACGTAATAAAGTGGGTACCGGCTACCTCACACACCAGACGAAACGCAGAAGTATACATAATAAGAAACATAAACCGTACATAATAATAACAAATAAAAGCGAAGACTTACTTGGCCGTACCACAGTTAAACAGTGATATGTGGGGTAATAACTCGCACAGAAATTTTTACACCATTACTCGAGAAGTGGGTTTGTTGGATACTTTTACAATTTAAATCCTTACTTATCCTTATCGTTACTAATCCTTACTAATATTATAAGGCGAAAGTTTGTATATATGGATGGATGTTTGTTACTCTTTCGCGCAAATACTACGGAATGGATTTTAAATAAACTTTACAATAATATAACTTCTACATCAGAATAAAACATAGGCTATAATGTATATACATTTTATGTATATCTGCCTTTCTGTCTGAATGTTACGCCTTCAGCCTATTCTACGCAGCCGTAGTCGCGGGCAGAAGTTAGTGTAAAATATTTCAAACAGACCTTCTTGATATCGGTTAGTTAGGAAAAAAATAAGAACTATTCAATGTTCTCAATTTTGTTTGCTTTGCACGGTGTTGAGATTCAGCAGCAGATATTAATATGAACAATTCCTCGAGCCTTTCTGCAAATCTCACTTATCAGCTGCAACAATCTCTCAACGGCTTAACTGTTTATGTTATCCTCGTACCTCAGGGAAGAAGGTCGCCATGTTGTTAAGCACAACCGATCCCCAGTCGGCACCGTGAATATAAAACTTCTTGTGGCCCAGCCTCCGCATGAGGTTTCTCAAAACGACCGCCATTTTGTCAACACCGAAACCGGGTCTAACAGCGCCCTGAAAATGTATTTGTAAATACAATGGCTAGTATGGTTAGTATGCAGCTCTCATTTATTTCAGAACACTCGAGCGATCTACTTTCAAAGCCCGGTGCACGATCTTGGTAATGCAGGAAAACATCGTGAGGTATCTTGTGTATATGAAAGAAATATTAAAAAAATGATTATGATACGTGAGATATGCAAAGCAGTAAAAGGTTAAACAGTTACATGTCAATGACCCCACTATGTATAGAAGAGGTTTTTGCCTAACAGTAAAAACATATGTGTAGGTTTTAATTTAATTTTTTTGTATATTATTTATTGTATACGGTAGAATATCATACCGGTACTGAAAAGAACTTCGCAGCTAGAATCTTTGGTTTCTGTTGTTAGTTTTTAACACTGTAATTTCAAACACATGTTACTAATAGATGTTTATTTGTTTTACGATATTTTTAACCATTAACAATTGATAACATACCGTAGGAACAAATTTCCAATTTTATGCTTTAGCAATCGAAATATAACTGAAGCACAAATATGATGTATCTTTTTTAATAAACTGTATGTATTTCCTTGAGTACAAAGTGGTAAAAGTGATCATGAAACTATGTCTGTGTTGTATTGTATATTATCAATTGCAACTAACGTATACGTACATCAGAGAAAGCGAACCCTGGGAGACTCGCCGCAATGACCTCTATCGCGAAATCACTGTTTTCAGTCACAGCTGTCAGAGTGGGTATGATCTCGTAAAAGTCCAGAAAGCTGGATGGCCAGCCGTGGAGCATAAGCAGGGGTATAACCTCCATTCCTTGAGGGACCTGAGAAGTTGATTTAAGAAAGACATGTGGAAACGCAATTAAAATTTCACAATCACAAGAGTAAAGCCCGATCGAATACTTAACCTTTTAATCAGTATTAGTTATACTGATATTTATATTGCAATTGAATATTGCAATTTAATGTATAAAAACTTCATTTATTTACAAACGAGTAGGTACCGGAAAAGGGTCAAATATAAATTACAGACACTTCTTTATTCTCGCTATAAACTATTTAATATACTCTTATTGTTTCTATTTACGCAACAGCTTTTGCTGTGCTGTGAGTAGACACGATTACTCATAAAACATATTTGAAACTATATCAACATTAAACTACCTACAGTATTTCTTAATGTTTGTTTAACATACGAAATACCTCTACTGGTTAGATGCAGTGCATTAAACCTAAAAATTATAGCAACAGTGCTTTTGGTACTGATATTTGTTTTTGTATTGCTGTCAAAATCTTAACTGGATATTTCCACTTATGTTTCTTCTTCAACTAGATACATGCATCTGTATCTTCCACAGTATGATCTTCGTTATTATCATTATTATCATGTATATGTAGTACGTATATGTATATCATGGTCATAACCGTGATAACTCAATGTCCGGGCGCTCGCCTTTATTTCAATTATACTCGAGCAAGCTGAGTTCGATCCTCAGTAAAGGCACCAATGAAATTGTTAACTTTAAGTGCTGAATTTTTTTTTTTTTAAAAACATTGTCCTCACTTTAGAATAACATTATCCTGTGTTGCAAGGACGTTTTACAAACATAAATTTCACGCGGACAAACACCCAGATGCGTAACAACTATCTGTGGGTCACACAAATAGTTGTCCCGTGTGGGAATCGAACCCATGACTCCCGACGTCGAAGCCAATACCCTGGCAACTGCGCCACGGAGTCATCAACTTATCACAAATTATCACGTACTCAGCGGTGAAGGATTGTGCGGAAAACTGCATATTTTCGAAATAATAACAAAAAAAATATTTCGAAGATATGTGAAGTCCGTCAATCTGCAGTGGGGCCGCGTGATAGACTTCGCGTAGCAGTGGGACATGTACAGGTTACTTCACTTTTATATCTGGTCAAAATCCCGAGCCACGTTACATAAAGTACTCGATAAGCGTCAAATTTGAATAACTATAACGGCCTACATTTCCTGAATCTCAATTATAGAACCATTACCAACTGACCTGCGGCGTAACCCTCACGAAATGGACGTCCAGGCCCTGGATGTTGGTCTTGTACTGGTTGTACTTGTTTATGTAATGCAGACGCTCTTGGAAGGGATACTCATCCGCCCAGTAACGTATCCAATGCGCCATCTGGTTAGTGTTGAAGCCGTATTCGGATGCCGTGCCTTCCAGTGGCGGCGTTAGCTGCCGAGTATTCCTTAAGCGGAACCTCAGATCTTCGACCATCTGGAAATTTCAACACCAGCTCCTTTGTTCTTTTATTGAAAGTTTATAAGTTAAAAAAAATGTGAAAATAAAGTTTTATTTACAAAACAAAGACATTGCCTTTGTTATGTAGATGCGTTTCCTTTTTTATAACTTAACTTTCAAATATATTAATATAAAATATCCCACAAGCATGAAATGAATTCAAACTTAAATAAAGAGTATTTGTATTATATGTAATAATTAAAATGTTTCCTAATTGTTCAATAAAATTATAAACACTTTTGCTTGTTCGCACAACTTGTGGTGACAAATATTGAAAACGCATATAGACGAATAAAAATATTTATGCATAATCTGTTATCGATTAAAAAACATTATAGTATGAAGAACATCCAATAATCTCACATCTATGAGTATATAATTAACATGTAACCTCAAACCTAACCTTTATTTATTGTATCTGTACAACTTATACAGTTTTCTTTATTAATTGCGGCCTAGCCACGCAGAAGCTTCATTGAGCTTCCCGTCTCTGAATAGACCACCTACGATCCCAGGTTTGTAAAAGGCTACACTGGCGTACAAGGCAATAGTCTAGTCAAAGAAAAAAACGACAGTTTATTATTAAACTCCCATTTCATTTCATCTTTAGTAGTACAGACTAGCTCTCAGAACAGCCTAAATTTCTCTCGTTAACGGCGATCATACAATTTTCTCCTCTATGTCTTTATTCTTTATGTGCTGGCTGGCGGTTTACCTTATATTAAGTGACAACCGCTGCCCATGCAGGCTACAAACGCCTTGCCACGTTTCAATAAAGTGGGCCCCAGTTGTCTCTGTTACCATATCAAACGCAGAGGTATCTTCACACCCGTCTTCTGTGGGGTCGTGGTACTTCCCCAGACGGATCTGCCCATTCAATACAACAGCGAGGACAGCTGCGTGGTCCTACAACAGTTAACACTAACTCTTCCCTTACAATTAATGAAACGAACCGAATTATTGAACTCCACGCGGAATGGCCTGACGCTGGTATCCTGCAAACCCTTTAAGTACTCCGGGCCCCACCACTCGTCGACGTCGACCTTCGGTACTGGTGGTGTACCCATAAAGAGGAAAAGCAGCGAAGTCAAGCCACTCAATATAGGAGCAGCTGGTAGAGAAATGGCGCCGTCCATCTGGAAGAGATCAGTATAATAACTATACCATGTTATTTATACGGTATTTTCAGCTTTCTTGGCACAGTTAATAAGAAATAAGCTACGGGGAAATCCCATGGGTTCGATTCGCACACGGGAAATATTTGTGCGACTCACTGAAAATTGTTCCTGATCTGGGTGTTTGTTCCCAAGGAGACCCAGAAGGCGATTCGTCGTAAAAACCTTAGCCAATACTAATGGTATGATACAGCGTGATTCACATGTTGTTCCCACCACAGTTAGGTGGGATAAGGGCAGGGGAAAGAAGAAGATTTTCAGATTCACGGAATTTTCTACCACACAGGACCAAATCGATGACTAGTTACGGCCAGCGGTTCTGCGGATCTAGTGTTGCAAATGTTTACGGTGGTAGGGCCACGCAGCAGCCTCGGCCGTTACACGAATGGGCAGGCTCGTACGGGTAAGTACCACGACCTCACAGAAGACCGGCGTAAAGTGGAAGTAGGTACAATACTTTCGCGTTTCGTCTGGTGAGTGAGATGGCCGGAGCCTAATTTTCAAAAGGTTCTCAACGCATCTGCAACCCTCGGGTATAGCAGATGTCCTTGGGCGGCGGTATTCACTTTACATCAGGTGAACCGTCTGCTCGCTTGGCAACTTTTCACATCAAAAAAATCTCCATGGGCGGTGGTGATCACTTACTGCTATAGCACATGGTTTAGCATAGTTTTTCTTTTAGTTAAAAAAGTGCCCCAATTGTAGGAACGTTTTATTTACTCAAATTTCGCTTGAATGTCAACGTTGCTCTCACCTGTACAAAGTACAGAGGCAGCGTGACAGAAAGGAATTTGGGTAGCAATTCGAATGAGAAGACATTAGCTTCCCCCACAGCCCCTCATGTAAATCCTCCGATTCCTATCAAGTGCGAAAATAACTTGGAAGTACTCTAGAACTGTTTTTTAGTTTTGAAATCACTTGCTAAATTAAAATGAACCGTCAGAATGAGCGACAGGATTTTTATTTCGATGCCACTATATATAAAATGTACATCGCAAACACAACGCTCTAGTAACATGACCGTTTTTAACTGGAATAAACTCCATCAATATGGATCGAAGGTCGAACCTGAAGCTTAAGTTTGCGAAGATAGACCAAAACATAGAGCTGACAGTTGAATAAAAACGTGGACTATGCTCGTACTGATAGTTAATACATTGTATAAGTAAATATAATGATCAAGGCGTATATTAAACTGCGAATTATTTTTTGGACATACATTTTCTTTATATACAAAGATATATATAAAACAAAGATTAAATTTGCTGCATTAACCATTCAGTTCAACAATTATCAATGCCGCGTCCGAATTTAGTGACGCACGCAAAAGAAATTGATGGTTCTGCAGAGTTCTGCTTGATTTTAATTTGTAAAAAATTTAACGTACTTTCTACTCAGTGTACCAAATTGGCTTTCTCTCTCTACGGCTAAAGCAAATGCACGTCTTTATAATCTTTTCATATATTTCATACGTCTTTGTAATAGTTTCAGGTGCTTTCCGTTGGATGTGATACGTAACTTTTGGGAGAGAAACCAACTCCTATGGGGACACTCGATTGTTCCTTCGACGGTACACCCACGAACACAGTCAACTTGATGAAATAATCGCGTACACTAACAATTTAAAAGCACTAATGCATATCGTAAAACAAACGTTCGCAGTTTCAGAGCACACACAGACAACGAGGCAAATATACTTGAAAAAAGCGTTGATTGACCTTAAAAGTTATATTTAAACAATCGACATACCGTGTGAAACTGGCAAGATCGAAAATTAAAAAATAAACAGGAGCTCAATTGCTATTGGTGTAGTACATTCGCGTAACCGACTGCAACTATTAAGAATAAAATTACTGCTTGGTAATTGTAGATTTTAAGGGAAGGTGCTCACCGTCTTATTTATAACCAGACTCTTAATTTATTTGATTGCACGTAGCTCGTTTTATTCTTCAGTCGTAAAAACTTTATTACACCCTTTTAAAGACCTTCACAGCTTAATAATACTTGACATATAATGTGGAGAAAATATTTAAAAAACTAGATATTCTTATATCTGTTGACTGTACAAACTATGACTATGAATAAATGATGAACCTTATCAATTTATATATACTGGCAACTTTCCCCGGCTTCGCACGCATGAAATGTATTATACATGTAAACCTTCCTCTTGAATCACTCTATCTAGTAAAAAGTCCATCAAGATCCGTTGCGTAGTTTTAAAGATCTAAGCATACATAGGGACAGACAGCAGGACGAGTTTATTTTATGCTATGTAGTGATGATATCTTAATTAATAAATAATAATGTACCTACCTTTTGGCAATAATTTCGTGTTTGGCGAAATTAGTCGACGGAATAATCCCTAATTATCCAACTTATGAATGATTATAGTAACATTTAATTTAAACTAAAATAAAAATAACATAATTTTTTTAATATTTTCAATTTAAATTTCTATAGTACCATTAAATATGGTGACAATGTTAATGTTGACAGAAAAAACACGTATCGAAATATTGTTTTAGAACTCCCACTGGGCCAAACAAGGATTTTTTTATTTAAAATGCTTTTGCTGCATTTTCTTTAGATGATAAGTCCAACGTGAATTATTAAAACCGTACTAATAACGCGTCGCAACTTTCCGATAGGCCGTACAATTAAAATAATTATTTACTTCAAATGATTCATTCACTTCGTGATGCAGCGTTGGTTCGTTTAAAGTCTTCGGAAATCGGTATCGATTTATACTGGAGTGTTGCAATAAGTTCTCCCTTTCTCGGGTCCTTATATGCAAAAAGTCACACTTGTGTCCAATGTACGGTGATAGGCTTGTCACCTGTAGGATTATGGACTAAATAAAGCGCGACAGAACGTGGTCTTGAAGAATCAGCTCGCTACGAGGAATATAGGGTAGTATATTATGAGGATAGGTTATTGTGCACTTTAAGTATAACTACTGTATTACATTTATTATAATAATTATACCATACACCAAGGTAGTGTATGTGCCATTACCAGGAACTATTCTAGGTCTAGAAAGATGTAGAAAATATTTAACCCGTAAGTTAGACTTATGTCTGCGTTATGATCTAGTGCCTGGTCTATGATTCCTGAATAAATAAAATCCTTACTAATATTATAAAGGCGAAAGTTTGTATGTACGGATGGATGTTTGTTACTCTTTCACGTAAATACTACTGAATGGAATTTAATGAAACTTAACAATAATATAGCTTATACATCAGAATAAGACATAGGCTATAATTTATATACATATTTTATGTATATCTGTCTTTCTGTCTGAATGTTACGCCTACAGCCTATTCTACGTAATCGCGGGCAGCAGTTAGTAAAAACCTTCACCTCTTCAGACCTACGTAGTGCGGCTGACCATGGTAGTAATCAATTACATAAAAAAACCGTCTCGTTTCAATAAATTAAACCAAAATTTTGGCTTGTACGTCATTTTCGTCTCATTGAAAGATGGGCAGCATAGTTATCTCTTCTCTCCCTCAAAGGTTAATAAGTTGTGAGTTATTATGCATTATCTCTTTACAATTAACCTTCACAGAAACGCCAGACCCATTACTTTGCTAAAATCACGTGCATCTAATTGCCGAAACAGTTATTCGAGTCGATTAATTTACGTAGTAGAAATCGGTCCGGATGTTTGAGCTGAGAAAAGCTGTTTAACTCAATTATGCCGACCCAATCGGCAAAGTGGGTAGTGAATCTTCATCTCGAGTAAGACTGGTTCGATCCACTACTCGAAAAATCCAGCGAAAATTTCTAGCATCCTGGCGTTTATCTACGATATATATATCACCCAGTTTAAGATTTGCGCAGTTTGAGTCTGTGATTTTTGTGACCTTATTTTTTAATGCGTCTCTTCTCAATTTTAATAAAAAACGAAATAGATGAGCATTGTCACCGTATTATCATAAGTGATAAGCAGTAAAGTTAAAGTTCCTTCATTTTATGAGGGCACTTCCGTCTATTAAAGCAATTTAGGTTTAACGTCTTGTGGTGTTATCTATGAAAATAAATGTACCACAAAGTAAGCGTTACTTTTGGAGGTAAGGTGTTAGTTCTAGGAACATTGTAGCAGAATTACCTCAAATGCCGCACGCTTATTTGGGACTAAATAGAATTTCAGGTAGGAATAGAAGGCACTCCGTAGCTTTTAATTAAATAAATTGTGAATAAATCTATTGATTATTAGTTTTAAGTATTTTTTTTTTAATTCAAATTTGTAGAAAACGTACGAAAAGATTGTCGCCGCTGTGGGAATCGAACCCACGTTTTCGGCATTCACGGACTGACAATCTTTTCGTACATTTTCCACAAATATTAATGTTTGTTCTTAAGTGCAGAGATTAGCACTATAATAGAAAATATATATTTATATTTTAGTTTACTGTTAAAAGAACCTAGTTTTACGGATTTTTTCAAGTTTTGTATTTAATTTAAACTACCAACGCCACGAATTCGGACTTCACACGCAAGCTCAAGAGACAGTGCGTAAAATATTTAAAAGAAAAAAATAAAAATAAACTTGGAACAAATCTTTAAACGAGTTTTATTGAAATTAGTTACATTCGCGAAAATTAAGGAAATCATTTACAAAATCGCTGAGAAATTGTCGGAATTAATTTTTCAGTTATTGAATTATTACATCATGTGCATTGAAGCTTGGTGCGGGTGAAGTGAGAGTTTAACAGAACTAGAGATTGAGCAACTTTTACTTGAATTAGTAAGTATCTATTATCGATTCAAGTGGCCTAGTATTTGATATCGATTAAAAACGGAAAAAGTATTCGGAATTTGATTCGGAAAAATAAACGTATTTTTTTTAATCTATATTTTTTTAAACTATTTCCCTTACTGTAAGGTAACAATTTATTATAATCATAATTATAAATACGACAAGAAATACGAAATCCGTTTAAGAATGTATT